GTCCTTTGGGTCCCCCCATCTGCTGTATCCTTGGGGGCCTCTCCTGGAGATCTCGCCACTGTTGCATGTGCTTCAGTTAGCATAATAATTCTTTGAAGTCTTGTCTCCAACTCAGCTCCAAGGGCAGGGCCCACCTTACTGCCCCAGCACCTGGCCCATAGTCAGTGCCCCATAAAGAGTTGTTAAAAGAATGAAACAGCAGTGAGCAAAACAGACCCCTCCCGGCTCAACTCTGGGCACCTCTTCCTGGAGTGCCCCTTCTGATTGCCAGTTTGGGGGTGGAAATATTTAGAAACAGATACAGATCAATTCTAGAGTAGAATTCAGTTCTAGTTCACAATGTCAAGCTGCACCCACACACCTCAGGGAGGTTGTGAACTGAGTTGCCTTTGTCCTTCAGGCGGGGGTGCTTTTAGTAGAAGAGTAGGTTGAGATTCGTGGGAGAGATGACTGGTTAGCCAGCAACTCCAGTCCTGAAGTCAAAGTTTAAGAGGCGGTGTGGGGAAAAAAATGGAAAGACTACATTCAGGCAGGCCAGAGTTCAAACCCCAAGTGCTGGACTTTCTTCCTGTGCTGCTGGGCTATTGGATCTGTCTGAGGTCTAGGTTGCCCCCTGCAAACTGGGTTTATGAATACCTGCTTCTCAGGGTGGCTGTGGGAAAGAGAGAGAAGACCTGTGAAGGACCAGCTCCATGCCTGGCACAGAATGAGCCCTCGGACAGGGATGGCCACTTTGCTGAATTAAAGGCTGTTGTTGGTGACCAAGGGGAAACATTTTCTGGAGCAAAGACAGGCCACAGAAGACCGCACCTCCAGCACACAGAATGACATCCCTGCAGGAGTGGCTTGTAGCTTCCATCTTCTTTGAGCCTGACCTTCCTCTGTGTCCGGTCTGCGCCCCCACTCCCTGTATTTCATGGGGAAGTACATCTCCACACGTGAAGCCTTCACCTCAGGACATAATGACCTGTGTACTAGGCCCGGTGCTCTTCTTACTCATCTGCTGAATATTTGCTGAAGGAACATGAAGTGGAATAAACTGCATTAGTGGGAGTAACCCCAGGGGAAGGTGCTTTTTTTTCTACAAACTGTACACGTAGCTTTTCTCTTTCTCCCCCTTCAGGTGTCTGGCTGATAGGCTTAAACTAGGCCAAAAGGGAACACGGGGGGGACCTGCAGGCAAAATCCTACAGGCAGGTTTTTCCTTATTGGGATTTGCTCCACACAACCAGCACTTTCTTGTAAAAGGAGTCCTGAGCCAGGAAACGTGTGTCACATTAGAGCTTGAAGGACACTGAAAAGTCTTTTAAGTCCTTTATAACACTCATAAGGAGAGCTGCCATTTTCCATGCACAGGTAGGCGCCACGGCACTGGACTCCCCCACAGCCCAAGGGGGCAGGTTCTGTTTAGAGCCGCACTTGGCTGATGAGGAAACCCAGGTCCCGAGGAGAGAAGTGGTTGGTGTGAGGGCACAGAACAGGTATGTGAGCGATCCAGGACCAGGCTCAGGCCTCCAGTCTCCAAGATGGCCCTCTTCCCCCATGCTGCTCAGGACCAAGTGTCCGGGGGGTGCCAGTGCAGTGCTGGGCTCTAAGTAAATAGGAAAACAGAACCAACTCAGCAAGCCCCCCCAGCTCTGAGACTCCCCCGCTGTGCAACCCCAGTCAAGTCACTCCACTTTGCTGCTCAAGAAGCACCTAGTCAGTTAAGGATAATAAGAAGTACCACCAAGAAAAATAGTAGCTAACGTACCTGCTCACATGATTCCAAGCACTTCATATGTATCGCCTCCCTCAGTCCACAGCATAGGTCAGGGTTAATTAGAAGGGGGAGGACAGAGAGTTGAAGGAAGAGGGACTGGGACAGTGTGGCCACGTGGCTGCACGGAGCACGGTGGGTTCGAGCAGCTTAGCAGGCAGTGAGCCCAGAGCACAGCAGGGGAAGGTGAGGCAGGGAGGCGAGCAGGGCCCGACCCTGCAGGACCTTGGAAGCCCCTGGGTAAGGAGCGTGGTCTTTATCCTAAGACAAATGGGCATGTGATTAGTTGCTCCCACCCATACCACCTCTATATATAGACACCGGCCTTTCTCACACTCAGTCTACTGTCTTCTTCCTTTTTTATGCTGAGTTCCCGAAGGGTAGGGATTGGGTCATATTTATTTATGTCTGTCTGGTGATTAGCACAGAATCAGGTATATATGGGTACTCAATAAATTATTGTTAATGGAATTTTTAATATTTTCAGTATTCAATATTAACATGTTCAATATTGAATAATTGTATATTATACACTCATTATGCACAGATATGAGTACCTATAACTTCAATTATGCAGGCATTTTTGCTATAAATGATATATGCATCCCTATAAAACCTTGCATCCTGCAAAATTCAAAAAATCACAGCACTCTGGGGGATCACTCACAGCACTGCTGGGCTACAGAAGGGCACACACCACACATGCGACTCCATAGTGATGCACACAGTCCTAGTGATGGGACCAGCACGTTCAAAGGGCATGCTAAATTTTGAATTAAAATTAAAACATCAGTAGCTTTAGGACCTGAGTGACTATAGAGCTGTATTTGAAAAACTAAAAGGGGGAACTTGATGGAAGAGGCAAGGGAAGGGTTGAAGCTGACGAGTTATGTAGAGGCAGGAGGGAACAGATATCTTTATTGGAAGGCCTGGTGGCAGAGCAGTTGCAGGCTCTGCCAGAAGGAAGCAGAGATGGAGGTCTGGCAAAGGTCAGGGAGAATAGAGCAACTCACGTTCCTGAGACAGAGAACGTGGCCACACTGAGCTGAAATGAGGAGCATGGGGTATGCAGGTGTCTGGACAGCCAGGAGCCCTCCATGGCTTGCTTCACTCAGCTTTGTGGGGGTAACTTTGCATCCAGACGCCAGTCACTTGGTGGTGCAAAACATTAATGTGCTGGGAACACTTGCCTGTGAACAAGTGTGACAGCCACATTTTCTGACATCATTCCCCTGAATACCTTATATGAGCTCATCTGCCTTATGAAAGAAAACTCAATAGAACAAATGATATATAGTGTAATGCGTGACTGTTAGACCAAGAATACCAGCTGACCACTTTACATGGTGAAAGGTACCAGTCACACATTATGTGACTATCGGGTTTTGGCCCATTTTAATCTTGGTCCATTAGTCTATTCAGTAAGTACTCAGGAAGTGAGCAGAGTATAGAGCAAGACCAACCATATGGAGCTGGGCAACACCAAGTGAGAGCTTCATAAACCTATGATGTGATCTCTTTCCCTGGCACGGGTAGTTGAGCACTGTGTGACCTCAGCAAAATCACTTAGCCTCTCTGTGCCTCATTCCTTCAACTGCAACATAGCACTAGGACACTCCTCAAGCTTTTTTAAGGAGCAGATTACAGTGGATGAACAGCTCTTTCTCAGCTATGAAGGGATTTATAGAGCACTGCTCTTTGTGCAAGTCAGTGTCTGGCATATGTAGGTTAGCTTGTCTCCTGGGTGCCTTCTCCCACTGACTGACTCATTCTAAGAGTAGCGGGCAAGAGAGCAAAAATCCCTGGAATCAAAATAAATTAATCACTGGGATTAAATGCAGAAGCTTGAATTCCCCTGCAGGAAGGAGGCCTGGAATTTTCAACTGAGAAATTTTGCTGGCCCTTGACAAAAGGGAGAAGGAGGGGACCCTGCCTCCAGTATCCACTGCCTCCCTCTCTGAGTGCCATCCAGTGCACCCAGGATCCTCCTTCTCCAGGGCCTGAGACTGTCCGCACACCCCTGGCCCACTGCCCTTCCTTCAGCCACTCCCACCAAGCCAGGCCTGCCTGTCCCTTCACCCTCTCCCTTTGCTTCCCCAAAATAATGCAGCGGAAAGGAACACTGTCCTGGGGATCACATGAACGTGGGTCTGAATCAGCTCTACCACTTACCAGCTCTAAGGACTGTTAATAACCAAGTTGTGGCTTCTTGCACCTATTTCCTCACATGGAGAAGGGCTATGACTTCCTTGATTAAGAGAATTATAAATGAGTATTTTTCAGACTCTAATGTGAGCAGGAATCACCTGAGGATCTTGTTAAAAGCAGGTTCTGATTCTGGAGGGCTGGGTGGGGTTTGAGAACCTGCCCTTGAACCAGCTCCCAGGGGATGCAAGTTCCCCTTTGAATAGCAGGACTATAGGTCAGGTGTGTAGTGCCTGACACACAGCAATGCAGCGACAGAAACTACAACTTTTTTTCCCAGTCAAAGGGTAGTTGTTTGAACACAGGGATAAGTGAACAGAGAAACCTCTGCTCACTTCAGAATTCTTAGGGAAACAAGAAGGAGCAAGTCTCGCCTCAAAGGCGGGCTGGGTGCAGGCAGTGAGAAGAGTGGCCTTCGCGGCACATGGGCAGGCTGCTCCCTGTGCACACGTGCTCTGCAGGTGGTCTCGCTGGCTGCAGAAACCTCTAGAGCTCAGGCCTCAACTTGCCATGCTGGGCATGCAACCCCCAAGGTGGGCCCAGGCCTGCTTCCCCGGCTACAGCTCTCCTGAGGAGTTTTCAAAGCACACAGGGTTCGCTTGGCAGGTGTCTCCCAGGATATAAATACGCATTTGGGGCTTTTGTTTTAAAGACTGCAGTACCTTTTTGACTTGAGGCCTGTGCTGGGGCTTTCCCCCTCAGCCTCCTCAAAGTGGAACCGCTGCTGGGAACAGACACCAAAGATGCAGGGAGCTGCCTGCCCACCCCACCCCATCAGAAAGGCCTGCTTCTCCACAGGCTGCCCACTCACCCAAGGTGGGGGGGTCTTTGTTTTTTTTCTTCCTCAGAATGGCCGCAAAGCCCAGAGACCCTGAGGTCGGTCTAATGAGCAGCGCCGTCCCTACCATTTCCTTTTCCTCTCCTCTCCCCATCTCCATCCAGCCCAGTCTCCCAGGAACTCAGACCAACCAGAATAGAGAGCCAGACACCCAGGTGCTCTGACCTGCTTTTAATATTAAGTTTCTCATCCTTGTAGGTCTTGATGCACCGACTGCTCCCGGAGTCACAGTGTAAAGAGATTCCCAGGATGTAAGCAATATGGGAACTGGTGAGTGACCATGTGTTGGTGGAGGCCAGGGCCTCAGCTGCATTCAAGGGAGGTGAATGGGAGGAACGGGGGCAGCCGGCTCACAGCCTGTCCAGACGCAGCTGGCTTTTGCAACTCTGAATCTGTTTCCCTCTAGATGCACCTGGAGACACACAGTGCAGAGAATGCAGGCGTGAGTCCCTTGGAATTCACTGGGCCCCTGCCAGTCCCTTCCCAGAAGCAAACCAAGCCTGCAGCTGGCTTGGCTGTCCTCTCACTGCTCTGATGACAGCAGTTCAGACTCTGAGGGCATGTGCTTGGAATTGTTTCTAGGGAAGTCCTAACCAGGGTGAGGGAGACATTCTTAGAAGAGAGAGGGACCTACCTGGCTCATACCAGCGTGGGGACCATAGCCCTGAAGAGAATGGCTAACACAAGCCAGAAAGTCACCTTTGCACATTGAAAGAGCTGTCACTGCAGAGAGGAGGGTGGGCAGCTGTAGACTCACAGTAATGGAAAATTCCTAACCAAAGAGGTATGCAAGGTGAAACAGGTGTCCACGGGAAAAAGTAGTGAGTTCCCTGTGGCTGGCAGAATTTGAGTGCTGGTCGGAGAAGCATGGATGGGAAGTGTTGGAGGGGAAGTGGGTTTGGCTATGACAGTGTTTCACAGACTCTGTTCCATGATAACCTAGACAGCCACACATCACAGGTGTGACAACTCTCCAGGCATGAAGGGGGTTTTGATCGGAAACCCTGAGGAGCTCTGTCCCTTCCCAAAACCACCAAAAGATTTACCAGCTAGTCACGCCATCAGGACATTTGGCCCAGGATCCAGACAGCAAGGACCAGAAAAAGACACAGGGAACTCTGCAGCAGGTGTCCCCAGCCCCCAGGCTGGGAGGACAGTGGGTGGCACTTCCCCGGGATGTTGGGGCCCCTTGTCAGGACAGGTACCACAAACTCAAGTGACCAAGACCTGGCCCCACTGAGCGAGAGAATTGCATCTCAGACCCCGCTGAGAACACACGCAGGAGGAAGACCCACTGTGACTGGGAGGGGCTCGGTAATGAGCCCCCGGGCTTCCTTTGTGCTGGCTGGGCCTTTCCCTGGGCCGGGTCAGCTGCAGCACTAAATATTTACCATAGGCCCCTGAGGGCAGGGCACCCTGGGCAGCCAGAGATGGCGTTTTTCTCTAAGGAACTGACAGCCTGGATGACGATGAAGTTTGACAGTGATTGTGCACAGGCTGTAGGGTCCCTGAGTCCTGAGAACCGTGGTGGGTAGGGCAAGGAAGGCCAGGGGAGGGCTGAACTGTGCCTTCCAGCCGTGGCCTGGCGCTTCCTTGGCGATTCTTCAAGCAGGAGTTGGACTTCAAGGACAGGCTGTGTCCTTGATTCATAAGACCTGGCACGTAGTACGCGTTCAGTAAGTGATTATCAAATGACTGTAAGGGCAGGTGATGAGGAGGCAGCTCAGAGTCTCAGTGTTTGTGGTTAAGAGCAGGGTGCCTGGAGACAGACTGCCTCTTCCGGTAGCTGTGAGTCCTCAGGCAGTTGCTGACCTCTCTGTGCTGAGTCTCCTCATTGGTAAAATGATAGGGTAACTGTGAGGGTTGGGTGAATGGATTCATGTCAAGCTGCTTGACCCTGTGCCAGTACATAGTAAGTGCTCAATAAATATTAGCTTTATTCTTTACTAGATATGGGACATGACCCCAGATTAAGTTTCTATGTTAGGATAGGAAATACCAGTGTGGGCCAGAGGACAGAGCCCTGGCCTGGGAGTCAGAAGCCCTGGGTTAGCTGGAGAGAACTCCGTTTTTCCTGCTCGCCCTCTGATGGGCCACTGTGGCCCTGCCATTGGTCCAAAGGCAAGGTCTGCTCAGCCATTGATTACTAGCTGGGGGCCCCAGAGGGAGTGGTTTGACCTCTCAGGACTTCCTTGTTCTCTGTGAGTGGAGAACCAGTGTGAGCTTCCTTCCTTTGCAGAAATGGTATTGAAAACATGAAAATCACTAGTACAAGAGGAAAATGCTGTTGATACAGATGGAAAATGATCTAAGACTCGAGCTTGGGTAGCACAGTCCTCATAGTCAATGTCAGTGCCCCATCCCTTTCCTAGTAGGTCTGTCTGTATCCTTGGCTGGGAGACAGATTCTCAGAACGATGCTTCACTTTGTAAAAAGGCACCACTTCCCAGGATCTGTAGTGCATTGCAAATAAAAATTGCATTTGCCTGAAACATTTGTTGGGGTTACATGTCTTTCGTAAATAGTAGACCTGGGGCTCCAGAATGACCTTGCTCAGGGGCCTACCTTTTGCCTAGCCTGCCCATCACACCATGGGAATCATAGTGTAAGCCAAAATTGTTTATGGGACAAGCACAACCCCTGTGCCTACAGGGTGTTAAACCATGCCCTTTAGACCAGTCTCCTTCTTCCTGTGTACCCCCCTAACATCTGCTAACTTACCCCAGCTTCACTCCTCACTTCAGTGGGAAGAGGACAGGGATGAGGGGATATTTCAAAGGCAGGGCAGTTTCAAAGGCAAAGCAATCAGAGGAAAGAGGTTCCGACTTCTGGCTCCATTAGTCATTTAACATCTCTTAACATCTCTTAGCTCCTGTTCCACATCTATTCAGATGAGTTGATTCAGCTGGGTCAGGGATGGCAAGTAGATTTCCTCTTCTCCCAACTCCAAACAATTGATCATGGCTGCCAGGGGCCCTGTGTTGAGAAAGAGTCTAAGGAGCATCCAAGAAATAGTGTGCTACAATGGATTAATGATGGCTGCTGAGAAGCGAAAAGGAAGACTGTGGTATACAGGCCACTTTTCGCATCACTAGACAAAGCCATTTGTAAGAGCCCTTCCTGCCCCCACACTTCATGGCTTTATATCAGCAGTCTTGTTTTCCATGAGAGGGGCAAAGCCTCATTAATCTGGGCCACTTTAAGACCAACCATAGTGAGTGAAAACTCTTATTAATCTGAGGGTGTCTGCTGCATACAGGTGAGCCTCATGACCTTTCAGTACATGGAGTTAACTCAGCCCAAATAACTGGTGCTAGGGCAGAGCCACAGTGATCAATCTCAGCAAGTCTGGCCATATGGCTGAGCGCACCTGACCTGTACTTCTGGGATACTTACTCTGTGTGCTTAGGAAGGATATCGCCAAAACTCTAACAAAAGTGGGGTGTTTTTTGAGGCAGAAAATCATTCAGTGGGCAGTCTTGCTTCCACTATTTCAAATTTGAAAGACTTGGCTGTACTAGCTGAAATTAAGCTGTTTTTCCAGAATTATATGCACAATATGAGAAACATATTCCAGAACTAGGTTTCCCCTGAGTTTCCCAATCTGTAAAATGGGGAAACAGTACACCCCATAGGGCCATACAGGAGAGCAAATGAGATAAAATGTTGGAAAAGACCTAGCAGGCCATCTTGCTCCCAAAAGATGGCAAAGAATGCTATTTCTTCTCTCCCTAAGCTACATCCCATCTATAGTCACCCTGAACGCATAGTTTTCCTCCTACAATAGTTTCAAGAAAATGATGTCATGGACAGATTTTTTGTAATAGTATCGTAATTTCAAAATGATTCCTGTTAGTCTTTCAAAGGCTTTTCGTTTTTATTCCTGATCATTCTTCAATGGCAAAGATCCACTTAAACCTTCAACTTGAGTTACTCTCCTCTGTCTTCTGGGTGGAATGGCTGATGTTCCAAGAGTCCTCACAGGCATGCACATGCAAGCTTTGGTTACAGCTTTCTGTAGAGGAGACTGAACCCCACAGTGACCAGACCATGGCCACATCTTCCCTTCAGCTCAGCAAGTGTGAACACCCAAAGACCATTCCCTCTATAGGAAGAAGGCAGCAGAGGTGGTCTAATGCCGAATCTATACCAAGTGATCTAAGTGTGAGCATGCCCAAGGGTGGATTTTACTTGTCAGATATGGGTGAGAGGTTTAAAATGGAACTCCACTTTCAGCTTGAGTCCCTGAGCATCTTCAAGAGAAAGATTAAGTTCCCATTTGAAAATAAACAAGACCAATTAAATTTATGTGAAGAGGAGAGGAGCCGCACCCCTGGTCACAGAAGCCAAGGCTGGGGAGAGGGGGCTTCCCAGGTGAGCTCATTAGGACCCCTTAATTATTGGCCGAGAACAGGGACACTGAGGGGGAGGACAGGCAGGGCCTGCCCTTTATCCCAGCCACCTGGAACATCTGCCCACAGTCCTCTCTGGCCCCTGGCCCGGACAACCTCACACTTGCCTTTCATCCTTTCTGCTGAGGCCTGGAGCAGAATGGCCCTGCAGCCCATGCCCTGCTCCCTGCCTGAGAAGCTGCCTTTCGCCCTGCCCCAGGAGAGGCATCCTGCTCTTCCATGGGCAGGGGAAAAGAGGAAGGGATCCCCGTCTTGCCTTCCCATTCTCCCACCAAGGCTCCACTCCTTGGTGTGGTGACCCTGTTGTGGGTTCCTCTCCTCATCCTGTGCAGCCTGAGACTTATGGCTCCTGAGGATGGGACTGGAGGCTATGGGGCCAGGGGGAGACCTTGAGGTTAGAGGGCATGACCAACATAGGCTCACCTGGGGAGCTGTCACCTGGAGGCCGGGGCAGCAGGAATGTCACATTAATTGAAACTCAGAACAAGTTCTGCAGCTTCCTCTGAGGCCTTGTCCCCTCCCTGGGCTGCATGGATCTTCCAGTCTGTATCACCCAGCGTGAGGCAGTATTGCCGAGTGGTTAAGACTGTGCACCCTGGAGCTGTACTGGCTCAGAATCCAGTCCACCTTTGCTAGGCCGGTGATCTTGCCCAAGTTATATAACGTCTCTGTGCCTCAGTTTTCTCATCTGTAAAATGGGCCACCTCATAGGGTGGTTATGATGACTACCAAGTTTATGGACTGTGTGTAAACAGTGCCTGGCACAGAGTAAAGGTGTTAGTAAAACAAAATCAGTAAGCAAATAAGAACATAAATCAGTGTGTCATGTGATCACCTGATGGCTATCAGCAAGGCTAA